TCTGTAGCTTTACTGCTGCTGTAGATTTTGGGTTGTGTTCACATATTTACCACTGGGCTGTTCTTTGATCATATTTCCTGCTGGAGTGTTCTGTTATCTAATAAATGAAAATAAAAGGAATCTGAAGGATGCCTTTAGTCCTTCACCCATTCCTCGTGTGTGAATGGTGCTTGCTAGACAGCTTGACCATAATACCATCCAGCTCTTCAAGGAGGCTGACAGATTTGCTGCCTCCTCCAGTCAAGAGTTTGCTGGGGAAGATAAGCAGCTCTTCTTTCTTATTGCCATAGAATAAAAACCAGGAATGTAATTTTACTGCTACTGTGGTCTACAGTAGCCCAGGCCCTGTCTAATACATTTTCCAAACTCTAATTTGTATATGTTTGTAGAAGGATGTGGAAAGGCTACAAAATAGGTTGAGTAAATGGTAGATGAGAAGAGACATTACTTACTGTTCATAGAAATAAAAACAGGGATATGGAATACAGAGATCCAGCCCTTTATTACATGTTTCTAGTCATTCGTATGATTTACTATAAATAGCCTCTTCTGATTCTTGATCTCATCTTTCATTGTTAGAAACAGATTAGTTGCTGATAAATGCCAGAAAGGGACTCTATCTTATGCTCAGTTCAACTGAGAGAAATCAGTATCTCTGATGTGGGGAAAGTCCTCGACTGAACCGAATGGAATTGTTTGCCATTGATTCTGGAGGGAAATGGCTTTCACTCCTTTTTTTTTTTTTTTTTTTTAAATTGGACCAAATATTTGGCACTTTGGGTCAAATTCAGACCCACAATAAACTGCTTCTCCAATTATTTTAATGGATTTGCATCTAATAACAAAATATGAATTTGGTGCTTTTTTAATCCATTTTTATATAAAATCTGTCATTGTTTTATGTTCTCTTGACATTAGAAATAGGATCTAATATAGTCATTTATATGCCCCATCACTATAGTAACTGAGTGTTTCCCAGATTTCAGACAATAGAAAGTACCACAATCAAAAATAAAGTGCTGCAGCAACAGAGAGAATGTATGAAAAGTAGTCTATCATTCTTCAGAGGATCTGGTTCATTAGTATGTCTAGATTGTTAGATATTTAACTGTTGGCTTGAGGCCACGTTATTAGTAAGTTGTATAATAGCTACATACTTAGAATGTTAATTAGGAGTTTATACAATAGGTAGTATTTTTGGGACAACATTTCCACAACAGAGGGGGATGAAATATGTGTGAAACTGACTAAATATAAAACTTTTAATACTCTGATTTTTCCAGACTGGCAATTGATTAAATTGTTTAACCTGACAACTCATACTTACTTTCTTTGCACTGTAGTGTTGTGATGTATTTTGTTCATACATTGTTACACAGATATTTGCACTGGATTTATATCTTGGAGTATATATTGGATTAGCAGAGCCAAGAACTGCTTGTTCTATTTTGTGTTTACAGAATTTCTGTTGCTGAGAGCAGGTTTTCCTATGCTGAAATAAATTTGTGGGAAATTACAACTTTGGGGCGGGAGGTATTTTTACCTACTGTTTGCTTAAAAACCCAAATAAGAGTTTATTGACAATAAAATAGGAGCTTCAGTTTCCTTACATCAAGCTTGGAAACAAATAATATTCATAGGGATTTATGAATTAGGTCTTTATAAGCAAAAACCCACTTTCAATTGCTTGTATCTGTATATTTTAGAAATGTGCATCTGTCTGTCAGTCCATTTGTTCAAGAACTCCTAAATGGTAAGAGCTAGGACCACCAAATTTGGTATGCAGCTTCCTCTTATCATAACTTAAAGCAAGGTCAGGGTTGGGTTCTGCCAGGATAATAAGATGTGTATGGAATTCGACTGTTTCTCATAAAATGGAAAGGAAGGTGTCTGGCAGGAGGGAGTTATACTGCGGAATGACCATATGGGGGCAGCAAAGAGCAGAGATGGTGTCAGGGCAGCTATAACCGTATTAGGCCAGTGGGGGCAGTGGTGGAGAAAGGGACAGGTATCTACTATATATTTCAGAGAGTTTGTCTGTTTCTCTGTGTGTCTGTCTGTCCCCTAGTCAGGGGATGTCTACCCCTCCCCCAGCTGTGCCCTCTGGAGCTGCAGTGGCCATGGACAGGCACTTCTCACTTGGCTCCAAGCTGCTGTGATGAGAGAGAGCTGGGGTTGTTCTCTCTCCCTGGGGCATTCTTCATACTGAATCCCTATTCCGCCCTCCCCGCCCCTGAACTATGATTTAAATGAAGAAAAACAAAACTTACTTGAGTTAAGGACCTGCGCAACACTGGGTAAATCTCCTAGGCTAGATCTACACCGCAGTAAGTTTGGTGTGAGTAGGTACTTGCACCATCATGGAACTTTTTGGAGGAAAGGACCTTACTTTCCCGCATATATTTTCTGTCTCCAAAAAAAAGTCTGTAAACACTGGAATCAAAGGACAGTCCTTAGAGAAAACAGGCTTTAATATCCTTATCTTGTAGTTTCCATATATTTCATAGTATTCTGAGCCACCATAAGGCTCTAGCATTTTTAATTAAATACTTTTTTCCGTTTTGAGTCTCAAACATTTTGCACTTGCAGTATATAGAGCCTGTTACCTGAGGCTGATAGGAATAGTAGAAATTGTTATACTGGAATAGATCAGCAGTCCATCTGGCCCAAGATCTTATCTCTGACAGTGGCCAGAACCAGATGCTTCAGAGGATGGCATAAGAACCCTGCAGTAAGTATATATGGGATAATCTGTTCTGCTCTCCCCACCTACATCTCATCCTAAACTCTAATAATCAGAGATTGACTTAAGACCTGCAATACAAGGCTTAATATCACTTCCAAAGCTTTTATTGCCAGTAAATTATAACACTGGATATTTTTTATCGGCTATTCATGTGATTATCTCTGTTTGACTATTTGATTCCCAAAGTGCTTTACTAATTAACTTCACAATACCTCTGTGGAGAAGACAGGCAAATAGCATAATTCCCATTTTACAGATAAGGAAACTGACAGACAGGGGAAAGTATTATACAATAAAGTGATCTTTTCAGCATTAAGATATACACTGTACTAGTATACACACGTTAAAATCTGGTAGCCCTGTGGCACCTTAGAGACTAACAAAAATCTGGGTTAAACTGCTTCTATACAATATTCAAAGCAGTCTTGGAATTTTCAAAAGCACCTAAAGTAATCACACGCCCATTTCCCATTAAAAATAACTGGAGTTGGTTCCCAATTCCCATTATTGCCTTTGTAGAGCTCCTTTTCTGCAAGTGTAGAACAGAGAAGTTGCAGCATCCTTCACCACAGGGCCTATGCTAGCAGGGCAGAGAGAAATCCAAAATACATGTTATGCTATGTAAAATACACAAGTCAGAGCAACCGCTTTACTACAGTAAAAACAAGTAGTCCTGTAGCACCTTAGGATATGTCTACATAGCAGTGTTATTTCAGAATAACTGATGATATTCCAAAATAGAATAGTCCATGTCTACACTACAAGCAGTTTTTTCGACAATGTCAAAATAATGTTGAGCTGGAGGACTTCTTACTCCAATTCCTATAACCTTCATTTTATGAGGAGTAAGGGAAGCTGGAGGAAGAGTGCTCTCTCGGACTTCCTTCTGTGTAGACTGTGCCAAAATCTAAAATAAGCTATTTCATATTAAGTTACGCAATTGACATAGCTCAAATTGCATAGTCTGTTTCGGCTTTAGCCCTGCTGTGTAGAGTACTCTTAGGCTATGTCTACACTTGCAGCTTCTTGCACAAGTATGGCTGATCTTGCACAAGAATCCTCAGAGCATTCACACTGCCAGCCTGCTCTTGCACAAGGAAATTTACAGTACAGGGTGGTAAGAGAGGGCTTCTTGCGCAAGAGCTACATTCTTTTTTAACAGGTGTAAGCCCTCTTGCGCAGGAGCTCTTGCATAAA